TCCGCCTCCTGGGTTCAGGCAATTCTCCTGCCTCAGCTTCCTGAGTAGCTGGGATTACAGGCACGCACCACCATGCCCAGCTAATTTTTTGTATTTTTAGTAGAGGCGGGGTTTCACCATGTTGACCAGGATAGTCTCGATCTCTTGACCTCGTGATCCACCCGCCTCGGCCTCCCAAAGTGCTGGGATTACAGGCTTGAGCCACTGCGCCCGGCCAGTACCACATCTTTTATGTTTGTTCACGTTTCTCTCAACTGTGAATGGTGCCGTGTACAGTTGGTATGTGTATGTTTAAGTTTTGATAAATTTTTAACTTTTAATAATTTGTGTATATTTATGGTAGCAAATGATAAAGTAGACTAGTATCTGCATACATTTTCTGCATTTATGACAGAAATTTATGAAAAAAATTAATTTTTTCAATATTTTTATTGAAAACTGAATTCAACTGAGTTTCATCTAAGTTTTTTCAAATTGTTATGGATCTCCAAAAAATTTTCCAGTATATGTATTGAAAAAATCCAAGTGTAAGTGGATCTGCGCAGTTCAAACCTGTGTTGTTCAAGGGTTAACTATATATGAATCCAAGTGAAGGTTTTTCTTACACCTGAGAAGAACTGTTTTTTAAAAAACAGGAACTAGTATAGAGTAACCATCACAGGTGAAGGGTAATTTTTTGTCAGCCATCTTTTGCGCATTTCAATACTGGTAGGTGACTCAATGGTAAAAATAAAAATGGGACAGTCAGAAGATCTGGAAATCTTTACCCTGCTTTCACCTGGCATGTATAATCTAGTCATTCTCCTATCAGTCTCCATAGAAGCGCTTGAAGGTATTAAATAAATGCTGTCTAACTCTAGGAAATGCCAACATATGATTGCTTCCAGAGGAATCTTCTTGAAAAAGAAAATTCAAAATGTTATTTCCTTATTAGGATGTCTTTAAAGAATTATAACCCTTACCGTGCCTCCATATTAGATAGATCCCTGCTGCCAGCACCCATGTGGCCACCAGTATAGATGGCAGGAGGAAAGGCAGCCAGCCTCCCAGGTTGCTTCTGTCTGGAGAAAACAAAGCTTATTCACTTTTGGAAAACAAATCCACACTTATCTCCTACTTAAAAACTAAGATTTTTGTATGCTTTGTAGAGGTTTATTTATTATTTATTTATTTATTTATTTTTTGAGACAGTGTCTCACTCTGTCGCCCAGGCTGGAGTGCAGTGGCACGATCTCGGCTCACTGCAGCCTCTGCCTCTCAGGTTCAAACAATTCTGCCTCAGCCTCCTGAGTAGCTGGGATTACAGGTATGTGTCACCACACCCAGCCACTTTGTAGGGGTTTAGATCCCTTTAAAACCATCAGTGAGAACCTCTTTAGTGAGTCTGCCAATCATAGCTTTTTCCCTAGAGTGTGCAGGTCCGACAGATTCTCAAAAAGGATATGGACCCAGGAAGTTAAGTACAGTCCTGAAATCTCTTTGGCTTCTTTATCCTGATATGCACTGGCATTTTTACAGTAGGAACTAGGGTTTCTGTCTGGTTTTTTTGTCCTTTAAGGAATTAATGTTACTCTGAGTACAACTGCTTATATACATAGCACATATAGATGGCATTTTTACAGGCTGTCTTGTTAGACATCCATGGAGGATAATGCCACATGCCTCATCAGCACATCAGATAAGCTCAGGCACAACGTGCTCAGGAATCTGTAAGGCTTCGCCCACACACAAGTCAGGACTGCCAGGCACCTAGGTTGTCTTCACTGAGTCTAATGACACTTTCCAACTTTTGATCCCACCCCAGGGCTAGTTGTGTAAACACTGTATTTCTCCATCTGTAATGAAAAAGCTAACACATCTCTTAACTCCAGAGACACTTTCCGGAACATGCCATTCTCAGGCACTGGTAAGGCGTGTCTTTTGGTGCCATTATTCTTCATTTGTTATCCAAATGTTGGCCATGTGACCACATCAACAGAATCCTGGGCTACTGAGACTAGTAAAAGAATCAAAATATAGCGAAATATGCATTCTTTTATATATCCAGTCATCTTACACCTTAGCTGTTTTCAGCAGATCCTTGTGGCACTCAGAACATACATTGTGCACTGTGTATTTTTTTTTTCCTTCTGTATATCCTGCTTTGTAAAGAGTCATGAATGGTTTTACAAAGCCTGTTCTTACTCAGATTACACGTTCTCTGGGACAGCACTGTTGGCTTTCTCTGCATGCCAGTTCAGTGTACACAGGCAGGGGCCCCTCGTACTGCCTACATACACCCTGTCACATACTGAGTGGGGGGCAGTGACTGTGTGTCCCGAGCCCCTTCATCATCCGGTGCAAGTGACAGGGCACTTACTGTTATCCAGAGGGAAAGGGACGCCTGTCTGTGGGCAGAGCACCACCTTTCCTTTGTGCCGGATGCAGTCGGTGCCACAAGTAGGAAAATACGGAGTCAGCTGAGGAAAAATGAGAGGCTCAGAAAGCTCACACCATGCATCAGAGTAAAACCTCATCACAACTCCTACTTCTGCCAAAACTTCCCTTCTTTCCGGCTTCACCCCTACCTCTAGTGTCGTCATGCACTTTCCCCTTGGTCACACATCTATAACAAAGCCCTAATGTCAAAACCAGTGACCCAAAACCCACATGCCTACAACTCCCAGATTCTGAACCTAAACTTTGTACATGTTACTAACATACTGGTTCCCTTATCTAAAGGGCTAGGTTATATCTTACCACATAGACAAACATTCCTCTAGAGAAAAGGAGCAGCAGTGATCGTGTTGGCTTCCTTTAGCCAGTGCTTTAGGACATGCAAGTCCCTGTAGTTAGGGAAGCCTGTGGTTCCCCAGAAAAGCAGAGTAGCCATCATAGGCTGGCCCCTCTGGCATGTCTGAGCACTTATATTCCAGGGAACGAAGCACGGAAGTTCCTTACTCTTTGGGGAGTGGCTGTGTACCACTGGACCTCCTGTATCCCTACCTCAAAAACTAGAGTTGAAAGAGACCTGCTGCTCAAACTTCCTGTTTTCCAGCTGGGCCTGCTGCAGCAGAGAGGATGGGCAGCCCCTTTCCAAAGTTCACACACTTACTGGAACTCAAACCTTCCCATTTCAAACCCTTTGCCGCTTCGCCTTGCAGTTAAAGGTTCGGGGAAGTAAAAAGGTACTGCTATTCCTGAGTGCCTGTGACAGAAAATGGAAATAACAAGTGCTTTGGAAGGTCAGTAGCCATTAATACAAGCAAAAGGGACCATGACCGCCACGTTGGCCTCCTGACCTTGGCACTGCAGAGGCTGCAGCAAAGGAGACCCCATTAATGCCACTTAATTCATGTCTGTTGGCAGAAGTGCATTTGAAAGGAGAGAACTCATCCTTAAAAGCAAAGAATGGTGGAAGTCTTCTATGTCCCTTCCCTCCCCAGAACAGCTCACTGAACCTTACCTGCACCACAGCACCTTCACTTTCCCCGGTCACTGGAATCACCACTGAAGCTCGCGCTTGTTCGTTCTGGTATGGCTAAGAGAGACAGTCAAGAATTATGAGGTGCTGGGCGCAGTGGCTCACGCCTGTAATCCTAACACTTTGGGAGGCCGAGGCGGGCAGATGGCTTGAGCCCAGGAGTTCCAGACCTAGCCTGAGCAACATGGTGAAACCCTATCTCTACGAAAAATGAAAAAATTAGCTCAGCATGATGGCATGTGCCTGTAGTCCCAGCTGGAGGCTGAGGTGGGAAGATCACTTGAGCCTGGGAGGTAGAGGCTGTAATGAGCTGTGACTGTGCCACTGCATTCCAGCCTGGGCGACAGAGTGAGACCCTGTGTCAACCCCCTCAAGTAAGAATTATGAGGCACATGAGTGAGTAGATCCAAGGCTTCCAGCAAAGCAGCTTTGCCTCCCAAACGGACACTATTCTCTAGACTGTGAAGAAGGGCTCATTTCCGGCTTCGGAGACTTCTTTTTTCCTGTGGTTTGAGGGTCACAGTGACATCTCTCAGGATGCCCACAGGGACTTGTTTTTATCTGTTGAATTCATCAAAATAGCCCAGCATGTTTGGACAACATCATCCCCATTTTCTGTCAACACACTAAGGAAAGCTGGAGGGAGGGGTGAAGGGGATGAAGAGAGAAAGTACCTCTAACACCTGAGAAAACCCAATGACGGTGCTGTGTTGGATAAGAGCCATGTATCTGTTTCCAAGGGGACTGGTTGTGAAGTTCACTTCTACCGTCTCATTCTTCTTACAAGCAGTGATGTTCGGAGCCCATAGGCTTCCTATGAGTTGAGAGAGAACCATGTGGATGAACTTGCTAACTCTTACCTCAAGTTCTCCACAGGGCTTTATAGAAACGAATCCAAGTTCTCAGGAACAATGTCCAAGAGACAGGGACGCTGCTACACAGTGAACTTTTTATCATTGTTTCCAGAGTCTCAAAGTAGTTGCTGCCCAAGACAGTTTGGGGATCCGCACATCAACGCTTTGCTAAAAACAGCTTCCCTGGGCTGAGGGTAGTGCGAGGCACAGATTGGTTCTGCTACTCACTGCTATTCTCAACCTCTCTTTGGAGTGAAGGGATAGGTCAGTATTTTCTCCCTCCCAGGAAGGGGAGAGGGAGCCACGGGTTAGAAAACGTCTAAGATTATAGAGCACGTGAATTCACAATCAGGACTACAACCACTAGAATATTCTGTGTTCCAGAAGCTTCATCCATCAGACCATTCTGCCAGCTTCACTAGATGGAAAGAAAGAAGGAAATGGCTTGTAGCTTAAAGGATATACCCTGATAGGTCCACTCTGGCAGAAATAGTCAGTTGTTTCATTCATGTGACTTGCAAATAAGGACTAGACTGATTTCCAGGAACACAATGTAAACAGCAGAAATTATCTTCCCCACCGAGGAGACCGTTTCAGGCCCTAGCTCAGAACTGTCTTTAGGAGTTCAGGCCCAGGGCTGACCCAAGGCCCTCTGACCTCCTCACACCTGTGGTATCCTCTGTACCCTCGGTGGGAAGCTCAGCATCCAAATCCACCTTCTAGCAAGGACAGCATGCACAGCTGTCTGATGATGTACCAGGGATGCCTTGTGGTGTGAAGGGTGTCTAAAAGTTCTGGACTGATCCAAATACCACTAGCCTCATTAGCATTCCAACACTATATTACTCAGAAATTTACACAAACCCTTGGAAATTAGGCACTAGAGACTGATGATCCTAAAGGGGCTTATTACAAAATTCAAGGGGTAAAATTCACTGGCCTCTGTGAAAAGCAATCCTCTTTGAGGACACAAGTTGAAAGCATACTTCTGGGCCAGTCCTTTAGCGAACTGACACTCCCACCTTGAATGTTTGCTAATCCAAACAGAAGGTTCTTAGGGTCCCCATTGCCACAAGTGGGTGGTGCTGGTGTCTGAGCAAGTGGAAGGGCTCATAGGACTCCCATCCATCAGGAAGAGCCTTTGATTGGCACCACTGAGCCATTTGGGCTAAAATGTTGTTAACCAAGGGGGTAGGGGTGGTTCTTTGTGACTGTTGCTCTGCTATGTAAATGTGCTGAGGGTCTATCCCTTCCTGGACAGGCTGCTCCACTCAGTGGGCAAAGTGCTGGCAGGAGATGAGGAGCTCTAGGTGCTTCTGCCGCCACCATCAGGGTGACTTGGATATGCAACTCTCCCCTAGGCCTCAGTTTTTTCATCTGTGCAAAGATGAAGAGACCTATGCTGCCTCAAGTTACACATTTCTTCAAATAATAAAAGCAAATTTCTTCAAATAATAAAAGCAAATTTCTTCAAATAATAAAAGTAAATGCTGTATTTACTTACCAGCCTTGACACACTTCTTTTTATATTTCATTATGTGGTCTAGGCAGCCTGGAAATTTAAATGAAAGTTTTTACATTTTAGAAAAAGGTATCTCTGCCCCACCCCCCTTGTCAACAAGTACATACACACATACGTATACCACACCTGTAACCAACTGCCAAAACATTCCAGATGTAAGATAGCAAATTCAAATGTGGCTCTAACATTTTACTGTTAAACAGAAGATCATCCTCCCATGACTTGGTAACCAAAGTCTAATTTAAATACAGCCTTTATTGAAACAGTATCTTTGATACCTAAGAGAAAACTTGAAAACCATCCACCATTTGAAAATGACATTTGGTAATATCTGTAGACACTGCCTGCCCCTTCTAGGTGTGAAGCCTAATATTTCCATACCTTCACTTCAGGGTGGGATAGAATTAGTGACTTGTTTCCAAAAACGAGAGTTGGGAGAAACAGTAGATTTACATGGAGAAGGCTGGCAGGCACCACATTAATCTAGTGTTGAGGTGACCCTCACCTGGTGTCATCTGGGTGCCATACACCTCTGATGGGATGCAATAAGAAGGGCACCTCTGTGGTATGAATTCCCAGTCCAATCATTAGACAAACATCAGACAGACCCAAACTGGGGGACATTCTACAGGATGCCTGGCCAGAACTCAAGACTGTCAAGGTCCTGAAAAACAAAGACTAAGAAACTTACAGACCAGAGCAGACTAAGGCTACACAAAGGACTAAATGCAACTGGAACAGAAAGAGGACATTCATGAAAAAGCAGGTGAAATCCAAATAAAGTCTGGAGTTTAGTTAACAGACATGTACTAATGTTGGTACATTATATATTTTGACAAATATATCATGGTAATATAAGACGTTAATAGGAGAAGCTGGGTGAGAGGTATATGGAAACTCTTTTTTTTTTGAGACGGAGTTTCGCTCTCGTTACCCAGGCTGGAGTGCAATGGCGCGATCTTGGCTTACCGCAGCCTCCGCCTCCTGGGTTCAGGCAATTCTCCTGCCTCAGCCTCCTGAGTAGTTGGGATCACAGGCACGCACCACCATGCCCAGCTGATTTTTTGTATTTTTAGTAGAGACGGGGTTTCCCCATGTTGACCAGGATGGTCTTGATCTCTTAACCTCATGATCCACCCGCCTCGGTCTCCCAAAGTGCTGGGATTACAGGCATGAGCCACTGCACCCGGCCCCGGAAACTCTTTATACTATCTTTGCAACTTTTCTAAAAATCTAAAATTATTCCAACATAAGGCCGGGTGCAGTGGCTCATGCCTGTAATCCTAGCACTTTGGGAGGCCAAGGTGGGTGGATCACCCAAGGTCAGGAGGTCAAGACTAGCCTGGCCAATATGGTGAAACTTCATCTCTACTAAAATACAAAACTTAGCCAGGCGTGGTGGTACATGCCTGTAGTCCCAGGTACTCAGGAGACTGAGGCAGGAAAATTGCTTGAACCCGGGAGATGGAGGTTGCAGTGAGCCAAGATGGTGCCATTGCACTCCAGCCTGGGCAACAAGATCGAAACAACATTTAAAAAAAAAAAAAAAGTAATTAAAATAATTCCAAAATAAAAAAGCTTATTTAAAAACAAAATGAGGTTTGGTCTCATCAAGCAAGCTGGAAACCATGCGTAATAAATCGTGCAGCACCAAAAACACCCTGGATCACAATCTCCAAGACCAGCCATGAATTGGAAATTACCTGTTTGGCTTTGACACCTTGTCTGTGACAGATGACAGAATGGGGATATGGAATGGGTGACTCAGCTCGAATGGACCCTTCACACACACCGTCCTGTCTCTCCTCATCACAGCCCTGTGTGTGACATTGTACTAGAGAACTGGACCTGTGTCACAGAGCTGGGGCAAGAGCCCAGCATGCAACTCAGGAGCACCCTGCCTCTCATGGACAGCTCGGGGACAAGCCGACTGGAGGCTGTAGATCCTCAGAGGCCCAGTCATAGGCAGCCCACTCAAGAAAGCTGAGATTGGAATGAACAAACGTTTTGCATCGGTGATATAAAGAGTGGCTCAAGTGCATTGTAACCTGTCAGTTTCTTCATGTAAAAAATGCAGCTATCCCAACCTTGGGGTTGTTGGGATGCTTAAGTCACATGATGCATGTCAAGGATTCAGCACAGTGCTCAGCACACAGGAACAGGCTTTTTCCTACGTTTCACCTGACTTTATCCTCTCTGCTCTGTGGGTAAAGCATGGTTACTACTGTGTCCATGCTATAGGTAAGGGAGCTGAGATATGGCAAGGTCAAAAGCCTTATCCAAAGTTCCCTGGGCTCCCTCTGTACCTATCCCAAAGTAGGCATCCCAGCAAGACAAAGAATAATAAACGAGTGAGGAAGTTTACCTGGTGAGGTGAAATTCACAGACATGGATGGGCCATCTTCATTCATATTTGCATTAGGAATATTATGGGCTCCAATGAAATAGACTGTGTTCAGCTCCACAGGGAAGCCTATGTAGGAAAATGTCCACTGAAAGGCAAAGCAAGGAACTCTCAATTCCCAAAACACTGTGCAATACAGAAACTGTATACTTTTGTGTGTTGCCCTTTTACTTTGTGTTTCATTACTTATTCTGTGAGAACTTAGGTCTCTGGCCAATGTCCACCGAGGAAATGGGCACCACACAATTTATAGACTCAGAGAAGTGTAAA